CCCAGAGCCCAGGTTCGCGCTGCGGCTTGCTCCCGGGGCAAGCACAGCCGCTCGTCCTGCGCCAGGAGATGACGCGGCCTCAAGTTTACAAGCTGGTGGACACACGGAGGACGTCACAGTTACATGTGGGCACATTTTATTCTCTGGATGCACTCACGCATTGTTTCTGCTCAACAGCCAAAGCTTTACTGATCGAAAACCATTGCCCTTCTCCCCCCACTCCCAGCATACTTTTTGATATGTACCCCTCCCTTTTCCCAGCCCACCACTCTTCCGCTTCCAATTTGAGCGTTACCTCTGCTTGGAGTATGTTTTCTCAGAAGAAGCTAGCTGACAATTCATTCAAAAATGGTTCTCCCAAGATCCATATAAATTACATGCAAAACATTGTACATAGAGATTAATATCAAAATGCAATACAGGTCAGGTGCACTTTAAGCTGGACTCTAGGCTATGGCAAACACACCAGGGTACATATTGCTTTGAAACCACCATTTTTTAATATCATGCATACCACATAATATTCAGCCTTTTGTTTTGTAGTTTTCTGTTTTTATACAAAAATACCAGTGCTTGTTATACGAGTTACTGGAAAAGAAAAACCCAGATCTGCGTGCTCTCTTCGAAAGAAAGTTTTGTTGTAAGAGCGCTGGATAAATATATATACACACATAAATGTCAGTTTAATACTGTATATATATTTATTTAAGGGGAGGAAATAAACTAAAGGCAGTTTTAGCCATGGGCTTTGCTGAAGGAAAACTGAGCTTTTTTTTGTTGCTGTTGGTTTGAGCAGGAGGATATCGGAGGCAGGACAGCCAGAGATCAGCGAGCCTCAGGCAGGCAGGGGACAGCCTCGGCAAGGAGATGCTGGAGAGAAACAGCCACGTGCCAAGGAAGAGCCTTGCTGGTAGGGACAGGAAGAGGAGCGCATCGCCTTGATGGCCCCGCAGGGGAGGACAAGGTTTGCCGGTGGCTGTGGTGGTTATGCCCTGCAGGTTGACCAACACGCAGGAGCTGGCTGCAGCGGTGAGGAGCGACTGCGGCAGGTCCAAGCGCCCTTTCCCCAGAGGAGGGCTCCGGGAGATGTCCGCCTCAAGGCTGCTTGGGCGCTGCAGTTGTGCAAGGACGGTGGCTGGTGGCAGGCGGTAGCAGCGGGCTCTTGGACAGGCCCCCGCTGAAGCTCAAGGGGGTTTCCCGTGAACCCCAACGTCACGTCACCATGCGAAGCAGTGGCTTGAGCGTTAGCATCTGCTCCTCAGCTGGGGAAAGCCAAAGGCTGCCCATGCTAAAATTTGGTTTAGTTTTTTTCCTTCTTGAGATTGTTTCAATTTTTTCCTCAAAGCTTATTGCACAAAACCTTTGAAAATGAAGTATAATGCCTGTGCAAATAAAAGAAAACCTAATCACATAATGCAAATGCCTAAAAAGGACTGCTCAGCAATGCACATAGGAAGTGATGTAATGTCTTTGGTACCAATCTGCCAATTTATTTAACAGAAAACCACCACCACCACCAGAGACCCTACAATTATCAAGAACTGGATGCAAAATTATGTTCAGAGTGTTTTAATAACAAAGCATTCCAAGGCAAGTTAACACGTATCACAGGGCATTACTTCAGTTCCTGTCTGGCATGGCACTCTCCCCCGTGCACACTCGTGGCAGTTCAAACAAAGCAAAAATCTCCCCCCTCCTTCGAGGCATGTTGCAGAGAAGTCCCCAGAAGTTCATGCCGCCGACCATGCCTTTTAGTGTAGAGCACCAGTCTCCCCCAACGGTTTTATAATGTCCTCAATAACTTAACCCAATAGTCATTTGCTGCCAGTATATCACGGAAACTAAATAGAAAAAATACTTTACATAAGATGTATGCACAATAAACGTTTATACTTTAAGCAACCAGCCATACCAACATAATTTATATAAAAAAACATTTGTGTCATCCAACTAACATCTAGTATAAAGATGGCTGCTCAGAGAAAAGGAAGCTGACTGGCATCCAATCGCTTATATACTAAATTACCTGTCACTTTGAACGGCCGTCACACGGTCACATGCCATTGCAGACACGTGACTCGAGATTTTTTTTTTTCCTTTAAACAAAATACATATGGCTGACGTAAAAATATCAGTTTCTGATCTAAAGAAAACTATATTTTTTGCATAATATTTATATATAATTATTTCTCCCCCTCCTAATATGGAAACTAGAACAACAAAAATATATCAACTAAAGAACAACCAGACCCTTGTGGCAACCTGCCAGTCACAGATTTCTGGGAGTGACTCTAAGAGCCCCCAAAGTTAGCTTGTTGTTGTTTTTCATTGGTTTTTAAGTCTTTTTTTAAAACAGGTCTGAGGTAATAAAAAATATCAAAAGAAACAAAAATCAGTGTCCCCCCCACAAAGTATTCAATAAATATTTATGTAAGCTTGTAAGAACACCATATTTTCATCCTTTTTTGCAAGTATTTAAAATAGAAAAAGTGATCTTTTAAGCAATGTCACCTTTAGAACAGAACAAAGCCCCACCAACCCTCTTTAGCTTTCCTGTCACCTCACTTGCGTACAGCTAACCAAACCGCAAGCCCCCCACCCGCCCCCCCAGTTCTGCCCAAGGTGCTTTCTCAGCTTGTGTGAAGAACAAAAGGGGAGGACAGCGATGGGTTGCATGGGCAGGGGCAGGTGTCTCGACACTGGATTTGCAACTGAGATGGGCAGTGGTGGCAATTTCTTCTTGCTGTTGGCAGTGTATGGAGCCCAGCGCTCACCTGCCTTTGCCAGCACGGAGGCAGGAGACTCTTGGGAGAAGGGCTTTTCGTCAGCTACCTGGGAGAGGAATGGCGCGGCGTGACCTCGTCTTTCCCTCCTCCCACCCCAAGGAAGGGACAAGTCAGTGCTGGACTGGAAAGGAAACCAAGACACTGGGTTTTGGTTGTTGTCATTTAAGGAACACTTATTTCTTGGCAAAGTACTGGGCTCTCGAGTGGCAGGCGGTGCTGCAGGCAGTGCTCGGAGAAGGCACGGGAGATTCTGCTGTGCGTTCTTAAGAAAAAGAAAAGAAAAGAAAAGAAAAAGAAACCAGCCACCCCACCCTGTCACTAAAACCTCTCTGCTTACAGGGAAGGAGGCCGGGCAAAGACGACAACGTTGTACAGCCAGTTACAACCAGGTTCTCAATGCTTCCAACCAAACCACATGGGACAAAGGAGAGAAGGCAGCAGAGCTTTTTCCAGCCCCTCCCATCTGGGGCCAACAACTGGGGATGAACCAACACGAGCCCCACAGGGAAGAAACTAAGCCCAAGCAAACCAAACTCCTGTCTCCTGGTCTGGCCCATTCTTGGCTTTGCAAGAGGGTTAGTTCAGGGCAATTTTGCCCAGGACACCCAGGGCCTCTGCTGGAGTCTCACCTGGAGATAAATGATTAGAAGAGACCAAGGTTAGGCAGGAAGCAGGGTGAAGAGATGGCCTTCACAAAAGCAGCAAGTGAGGCAAAGCCTCAATGCAGCACCTTCTCTGGAAGACCTAGCCAACCAACCTGCCAGCTCTGCAAGGAAGTGCCTCCCTTGGCAAATCAGCTATGGATGTCAAGGGTCCTCCCATCAGCCATGGAGCACCTCTCCCTTCCACCAGCTAGAGAGTCTACCTGGCTTGTTCCTTCTATGATCTATGACTTGACCCAGCTGTACTGTCAATAACTGGACGCTCGTTCTCCCTTCAGCCTGCTACTGTTTTGGAAGTGATGTGCAGAGCCAGCGGGCACAGCTGCATTGTCCTCGGGGTTTCCTTAGGAGTTAACCACAGCTTGTACTCCAACACTCAAGGATTATTTAGTCTAAATACGCAAGCTGGAACACGCAAGTGCCAAGACCCCCTCCGCTCCTGATGGCAGAAGCTGTTAAAAGTGTTGCATGGCTCTTGCCAAGACTTTTGCAGCTGTTCAAGAGCAGGAGAGAGGCATTTCTTAAGATTCCCCAGGAAGGAGCCCCATTTCTCATGATCCTGGGGTTTTTCTTCACCACTCTCACCTTGCCAGTTCACCTCTACCTTGCTTTGTAGAAAAAACAGAATCTTTCAAATCCAGCAAGGTTACATCAAAGTCCCCTTCATCCCTTGTCTAACAACTACTGCTTTGGAAATGGAGAGAAGTGTGTGTGCACACACAAAGGAGGAACTGTAAAGGCTAGGTACCATTTTTAAAGGTGGAAGACTGGTGTACATCCCTGTATCTATCAACCTGTGAGTAAACACCTTCCCCCTGGCTGTTTGGTTGTTTATAATTTTTGCACCACAGTGCTAGCTCCCCCCACTTCCCACTGTGAACTTACTGGGGGCAAATTTCACAAGCAAAGGAACAAACCCCAACATTAGGAGAAAAAACAAAACAAAAAAGCCCTAAAAACCACAAGTGGAAAAATAAAGTCACAAGTGCACCCCCAGCCCTCAGGCAGAGAGCGTGCATGTAAGACTATGACGATTTGAACTTTCTTTGAACATGCATTTCTCAAAGTGAACCCCCTGTACAGATGCATGGAGCCCAACTCTCGGAGAGGAAATAACCTGGCTGTTTTGCTTGGGAGAGTACCACTGAAAACTAGGGATGAAGATGTACAATTCTGGCTTAGCCCCTCCCAACACCCAGCATTGTGGTACTCTGGTTCCCACTGCTAAATAATTGTTAAAAAAAAAAAACAAAACAAAAACAAAAAAAAACCCAAAATGATATACGTATGAGCAGTTTGACATGAAGTGACCGCAGTGTGTGATCAGTTACTGGTGCCGATATCACACAGGGCGAGAGGCGAAGGTGGAGAGGAGGAGGGGGTTCAAAGTTCTAAGGTCAAACCGATGTCTCCAAGCTGTGTAAGGGGCTTTCGGGCTCCGGGATGGTGACCTCGACTTGATCGCTGTCCACTGCATTGTTATTTTTGTTGAGGGATGTAGATCCACCCGGGCTACCCCCACCTCGCTTTTTGAGTCCATCAGTCTCGGGGTCGTCTTCAGCGCCGTCAAGGAATGGTGTTCGAGGCTCATCTTCCTCCAGGATGAACTCTGGGTGAGTCATGAAGTTATGAATGGAGCTTCTGGATTCGGGTTTCTCGAGGCCTTCGTACAAGGAGCTACGGAACGCATTCACCACTTTGATCTGCCAGGAGGCGAAGGCACAGGGCGTGGGGAATAAATAGAAGAAAGGTTAGTACAGGCTACAGGAGGCCAGAGCTTCCAGGAGAAATAAAACAAAATTTAAAAAGACACAATAAAACAAAAAGGACAACAACAATCACCACCACTGAACAGACAGCTAAGTCAAAATGAGAGATCTATGGTGAACTAGGAGGGCCAACATGGATCAGACTCAGGCACTAGGTGTGTGATGGGCAATCAACCGACTATGGGGCGACTTCAGAAGCTGCAAGAAAAGACACAAAATACTCAAACAGGTCACTTTGAATGAATGGAAGCCAAAATGCATTAGTTGTCATTATGTGTGTGCACGCGCATCTGTGTGTATAAACAAGGGACAAAAAAGTGGAACTACAACTCAAAAAAGGTGGGTTAGACAAACACAGTGGGTTCACTTCAAGGCAAAAACTCTACTGTGGGAGTGATGCATTTATTCTTTTTCATTTTTAGACCTATAGAAAGGAATGGGCTAAAAGGTGTCACAAACTCGTTCAAGCCCACGTGAAGCAGAGGGTCCAAGTGGATGCCGTGAACAGTAAAACAGGACCCAGGTAAACATGCAAGAAGGAAGCCAGATCTGTGCGAGTTTTCCCACATTGCTGCCACCTAGATCCTGGGCTAGAGCTCTGGATCCTTCCCTAAACCAACATGCTGCACAAGACCCAAAGATCTCCAAAGGCAGCTATTCTTTTGGAAGCTCTGCACGAAAAACAATCCCAAACCTTGCTAGAAAGCCTGGCCACTCGCCACTCCTGGGAAACCCACAGGCTATCAGCACCACCAAAAGCCAAGCTCAACAGGTTACAAGCAGGAGATCCAGAGCCCAGTTTGGACAGCTGAGGTACTGCATTGCCACCTCCGTTGCACTGGAAGGGAAAGGTCTGGAAACCAGCCAGGATGGAAGCTAACACTGGATTCACTGCTCTCCCTCCCACTCCTCTGGAGATCCAGCCTTGAACTCTTCAAGCTCTCACCCTCCCCTTGCAGTCGAGTCTGTGGTCAGATGGGTGACAAACGTCAGATCCAGCAAAGGAAGAGGCAGGGAAGGAGGCAACGCTGTGTGGCTGCAGCAGATCTTTCCACCTCAGTGCTGCAGCCCCCCCCGCCCCAGCGCCCAAATTGCAGAGACGTGCACACGCTGGCATGCACAAGACAACCAACACACGCACACCTTGGGTGCAGAACAGCATTCCAGCTCTCGTGGATGACTTGGGGCTACAACCACAAGATGTCAAAAGGTGTAAAGTGAACGAGAGCTTTGCAACACGTGGGCTTTCTACGCAGAGCCCACAAACTGTGCAGCTCAAAGCCTCCCAAGCCTTAGAGGACCTGGTGAAATCACACATATGGCTTTGCCTTTTACTACAAAGCCAAGAGCTACCCACCATGCGGTGCCCTCCAAAGCATCCCTCGAGTTACTCCACTGCACTTTACACTGCTGCTCTCCCTGCTGACTCGCTGTCAAGTCCAGAGCCAGCAAGCAGCTTCTCTCCAGGGAGGACCCTATCCTGCCATGGCAGGTCACATCAGCAGCCTTCTGGCTTGTGTCACCCTTCCAGTCACCTGGAAACTGTATTCTCCCCTCCCTTTCTGAAGGAGGAAGCTATTGACAGAAGTTGTCAGCAAGGGCCAAACATCTTGCACAAGCTCTCACGTGTCTTATGGAGGCAATAAAAGTCTGTTCTGTTAACCAGAGTTCGCTTGGGGCCAGGATATCTGCTCCAGATTCCTCCTCTCTGAAGGAGCTGCCCTCGAAACCACCACGAGACTTCACTCAGCAGCCCTGGGCACAATGGGGAAGTCTGCAAGCCTCCCTTCACCCACACCAGTTGTCCTGCTCCATGTCCTCCCTCCTGGCAGGCTCAAGTGCTCCTGGTCATGAGTCACCTCCGCCTGCTCCCACACCTGAGAAACCGAGTCCCCTGCCTGCTCTCATAGCATCACTGTGGACTTGAACTGGGACACAAGAAGAAAGAGAGCTGCAGATCCAACAAAAGGATGCTCCTCCACAGCAGCCTTGTGTTATACCCTCTAGAGCCTCCCCGTCACTCAGCCTGCACCCAAGTGAGCAGAGAGCATGCGGAGTTGCCAGAGGGAGAATGGTGCAGACATCCCCCTGCAAGCTGATGAGACAAAAATACATATGTATTTTACCAGTCCTTCGAGAATGGGCTGCAGATCTGTGCCTGAACAGAGATGACACACCCCTTCCGGGTGAGGGGATGAGCCAGGTTAAACAATCCACCTTGGTCTGGTGCCACGGACAGGCTAGGAGTGAAACCACCAACCAACACAGCGCACAAGAACCTCCTAGGGATCTTTGGTCTCAGCACAACAAAACAGCACTCACAAAACCAGACCTGAGGCGTTACTCAGGAGAGAGCCTTGTGCCTGAAACCCTGGAGATTTTACCTGCAAGATATTCCACGGTTCCCCGTTCATGAGGGATGCCCTCCCGAGTCCGCTCTCCATCTGGGTCAAAGATGGTGCCACACCACTGCGGGCAGCAACGTGGCATCCCACTGGCACAGGCTCAGCACATCTCAGCTAGAAACAAGCCAGCTCTCGCACACACAGACAGGCGCACACACAAAGGGACAGGTGCACACATACACGAGCTGGATAACAGACACCCGCAAAGAGATGAGCATCGGCCAAGTACCCCCATGACACTGGAGCACCAGGTGGCCTGTGAAAATGGAAAGTTTGTGTCTGGGAACAGGAATTCAGAGCCGCTTGTTTTGCTGCACTAATGACCACAGTAAGATCCTAGAGAAACTTGGTGTTTAGCGTGAAGGCACAGGATCAGGGAGACAGCTGAGCAGGCCAGGTTCTACCAAGACTGACCACAAGTCCTTTCATCGATACCCCAAGAACAGCAACTGCAAGTACTGACAAATAAAAGCACTGACACCTAAAAAGTGGTATACACAACCAGGTAAACCAAGAATAACCAGCTTGAACAAGCTAATGGGTGCCTCGGTGACTTTTGGAGCAACGAGGGGGTCAGTCTAGTACAAGCTCTGACAGAGCCAGGGGTAACTTCACAAAAGCCCTCCCTGCACCACCTCTAAGCACTGGCAAGTCAAGAGCTTAACACATCCCTGCCTTCAGCTCTATTTTCTGCTCCACCAATAACTTCTGCTACACCTTTCCTCAGACAGTCTTATTTTGACTTAACCATCTCTGTCAACAACTAATTCCTGATGCACAATAAGTGCTCCCTTGTCAAAGACACTCAACAGCAAGGAAATGTGTTTTGAATGAGCCAGGCAGTGCAAACAAAAGTAACCTCCTCCTCAAATCCTCTCCCCAAACAAGTCGAAGCACTGGGGCTCACAACAGATTGGCTTCCTTGCAGAGTTCTTCCTTAGGCTGCTGACCAACCCTGTGCTTTAGAGGGGGGACACAGGATGATTTGCCTGGGCTGGCAATAAGACAAGAGGCAACATCTCTTCCCAGAAGCCTCTTGATGAAACGCTTCCCAACTCTTCAGAGCCTCTGATTTCCTCGGAACCCTCAGACGTGCCTAAATAACACCTCTCAGCCACACATCTTTCCTAACCACAAATACTCAGCCTGGCACCAGTGAGCTCTGGAAACCCTGCACAAACAGCTGCTGCCTGACAGCAAGTCCGACTGTTTGACACAGCCTGTGGCCAAACATCCTTTGGGAAACTTCTCCGTACAAAGCACAACTGAAATCCGCACAGCAGGACACAAACACTGCCTGGCCACCCTGGACTCGCTCTGGCAGACATAAGATGAATACCCACCTCCCTGCCCACAGTCAGGGTTACTTCTCCTCTGTCTGAAACCGTCATAACCCGCGTAACCCCTGAGTCTGGGGTCTAGAGTGTTGCAGAGTAGCCGCAACACTGCAAAGTGCTGTGGGTAAAAGCCATTGCTCACATGGAGACAGAAATAACACCTTCTGAGCAAAGCCAGCATCAGCTCCACCACCAAACAGTGGCTTGTAGGATCCAGTTTCCTCAAACCAGGGCAAAACTCCAAACTGAGGCAGTGCTTAGCTCTGCAAACCGTCCCCTGGTTCATTCACGACATTTCCCTCTCTTCCATCACCACCCAACAGGAACACAGTGCTCGGGGCTGCCGAGGTCTCGCCCAGGAGAACTCTTCTCACAGAAATAAAGTGGAAGACAGAGGGACTCCGTTAATCTGTATTCAGGGAAGGGGAGCTTTGAGAGAAAGGGAAGGAAAGCAGCCAAGAGGGAAGAAGAGCAAAGTATAGATAGAAAACAGAGGGAAGACTTAGCAACCTGGGTTAGCTTTTGGTCAAGTTGTTGTCTGGAAGGGCATATGCTATCCAAGTTATCTATTCCCCTGCTGCAAATCAGGGAGAACATTAATGCACACACTGCAAGAAAATCTGCATTTTGGTCTTACCCACCCCAGCCCACTACCCTGATACCCCTCTAAGCAGGTTTTCTTCCAATTAGAAAGTCGTGGTGGTGCACAGATGCAGACGGGAACAGAAGGCAGCTGCGCTGCTTCAGAAACACTGGAGTTAAACAAAATAAAATTCAGGCATCAGTGTTGGCTAAACAGAGAGAAAACAAAAATTATCAGAAATTCTCTCTTCTCTCCCACAATGCATAAACAGTGGAGACTGAAAGCTATTCAAAAAGTCGTCAAGGGTGTTTCTTTAATAAGAGGAGAACAAGGAAAATGACTGTGCAATAAAAAAGCCAATTATCCAAGAAGGATGCACTACCTACTCATAGTCTGGCAAAGGCCTGCGGAGAGAATTCAAGCTCACAAGCCTGTATATACAGCTCATCATGAACATGGAGGGGGCTATTATACAAGAGAGGGGTTTTTCCTCAGTCTGGAAGCCCACAGCTAGATCCAGGGTCCAGCTTGACGACTGATGTTCGGGAGGGCCACATTTTTCCGAGCACAGTTTCTCAGTTTGCATGCAGAAAGTCACGCGTCTCCATGTACACTGAAAAACAATGTGCATGAAACAGACTGGCCAGCTGGGCACCGATTACCTGCTGTAACAGGACAGCGATGCTCGGGATACAACAGGGGACTCGGTGAGGCCCTGTGAGCGAGAGCTCCAGGGCAGCACAGGGCTGGGGACACATTTATGTATGTTCCTCCTCATGACAGTGTATGCTTAACTGCAGCATGTGCGCTTAAGTGCTGTCCTGACCGGGGCCTCCGGCCTCAAGGCAAGGAGCTCAGCGTGCAGGAGCTCACTGCTGGCCTTGGCACGGAGGCAGCCGGGAGGACTCGGCTCTGTCTCACACAGCATGCAAATTAACACGCAGGCCACGAGAGGCTGCTTGCTTACAAGCCAGCTCGGAAACAGCAGGCTCAGCTGCAGGTGAGTGACTTACAGCAGCTCTGGTGCTTCACCACCTTCCAGCTGAGCCATGGTAACTGGCTGCTCTCACACATGGTCAAGTCCTTCCACCAGGGTAGAAGCCACTACCTTTTATCACACACGTGCAAGAGGCAGAGAGCATGCAGGCAGCCCGTTACCGCAGCTCAGCTGACCCGCAATAGCACGCTAAATGCTGCGGGCAGGCCTGAGCAGTCACTCTGCCCTCAGACAGATTTGCAGCTTTGGTAAAACAACCCCTCTACCCAGCACAGCCCTCCTGAACTGGGCAGAGCTGCATCGGAAAGAAATTGCAGCATTTGGACGCAGCATTCCCTTTTCACAGCAGTGCTTTTAGTTGCTCATAAATGCATGGTTCTTTTAAGAAGTACTGCCAATTTTGCACCCCTCAGGAGGGTGAACTCATATGTCAGTCCTGCAAAGGAGGAGAAGAGGTAAAAAAAAAAAAAAAAAAAAAGAGGAAGCAACAAGGAATGGGGAGGGGAAAAGACCAGAAAGTATTGTAAACTTGTTAAAGATGCAACAGCATAAAAAATTAAAAATGATCTCCCGCCCCATCCTTCAGTTTAGAAATCAGTGTGTTGGTCAAGGGTTAGAGGGAGAGAGAACAGGCTGGGTTAGGTTGGTGCGGTGCTCTCTGTGGTTATTAGAAGTCATGCATTGTAATAGACTATCACTCACTGCCCGCAGGAGGAGATGCAGCAGCAGCAGCAACAGCAGAAGTGGTGGGAGTGGAATTGACGGAGGAAAGAGCTACATGGGTTGGGCTAGAAACATTTTTTACATCGTGGTGCTGGCTCACGATGGAAGGCTGTCTCCTGAGGGCTCCCTGCAAAGAGGAGGCGCCGGTCTGGAATGTGTAAACTACGTCCATCTGTAAAGAATCAGAGAGTGAGATAGCGTCGCCCCGGTCAGAGACAGAGGGAGAGGGGTCGGGGATGGAGCGGAGGGGAGCAGGGAGGCTGGGCAGACACACGCACGGACAGGAAGGAAGAAGGACGGACGGAGAGGTGGGGAGGAGGGATGAGAGAGCCCCCCAGCCCGCATTCCCATACACCCACACCGGGCTCGGCTGGCGCTTCTAGGAGCAGAGAGAGGTCAGCTTCCAGCCTCTGCCTTGCTCTCAGCTGCGTGAGGTGCACGGCTTATACCACCACCAAGAAAGACCATGGTGGGAGGGAGCGTAACAGGAGACACCTCAGGATATTCCCACAGTCCACAAGAGGCACAGAGAGAGAGGGTGGGCAGAGGTGTGAGCTAGCAGCCTGTGGCCCGGAAAACTGCACTGGGAGCATGTTTCTGGTCCCTCAATTCCATGGGATGTACAGCCAGGGGGGTCAAATCCTGAGCCGCACCAACGCGCCCACAGCTCCCATGGCAGCCAGCTATGCTTGAAGACGCTCAGCCTCTCTCCCAGGGTCTCAGCTCAGCAAAGGACTCGTGTACAAAGTGGAGCTGGTAGGGGCTGGCAGGGGAAGCAGCAAGGAAACACCCACGTCGGTCTGCAGACATGCTCCAAGGCAGGAGGAACTGAGCAGCAGCCAAATGCCCAGGATTCCCGGACACTTTATACCTGGACTTTCCCCATCTGCCATATGCCAGATAACCGACTGGGAGACAGCACATCCCTGCACCTTCCCAGTCTGCTGCCTTGGCCACATGGCTCCTTGCTGCAAGCCGCAGGAAAGGGGCACCGCCTCCAAACCTGTTTGCAGCCTGTAGATATTTACTGCCTGTTAGCCTGTTTGCACTGTAGATATTTTACATACTGTAAAATATGTAGATATTTTACATACTGCTCTGCTCCTTCCCCAGTTTGATCTCCTTCCACAGAGAGACCCTCTTTTCCCCAGTGCTGCACGGACCCCAGGTTGGTCTGTGAAGAAGGAACCCTACACTCCTCCTTTCAGGCACACTGATTCAGGACACCTTATCAGGGGCCTGATAGTTGCTCAGGTTTGACCTGCAGGCTGCTCTGCTCAACTTGCAGGGCTACATAGCCAGAAAGGGAGTAGCTAAAGAGACTCCAGGACTTGCCAACAGTTGCAATGTTCGGAAGCGCTCTTCATGGTGCAACAGTAAGAGATTGTTTCAGTACAGGTCCACCACGGCCTGAGACACGGACGAGACACCTCAGAGCGTCCTGGTTCAGGGGGCAGGCACAGAACCAGAGGCACGTCCGGCCTCCGGTATTGCAGATGTTCATACCTACCATACCTCCAACACATCTGGATTGCGTCCAGAACAGCCTGGTGCGCCCAGCAGGTGTTCCACATGAGCAAGCCAGATTGAGAAGTTAGCTCGCGTTTTCTCAGCACCCATGAGCAGCGCTGCCCTGGTCCCCCAAGAAGAGCCTGGCTCCCACCTTGCCCTTTGCTACGTACCCCCCTCTGCAAGGGAACAACGTACCAGCCTGGCAGGATGAGCCAGCACCAGTGCTTGGGGGAACCCAGCACAGTCCATAAATGCCGCGTGCCTCATGTGCACGCACAGACTATGACACGAGTCTGTTCAACACAATCTCCTCTTCCCATCATCTCTCCAAACTGGAGCCATGGGGATGGTCCCCGCTGCCTGCAGCCATTTATCTTGCACTTCTGCAGAAGCGCCAAGATGGCTGCTCTGCGCCAGGCAGGCTGAATGACCTGCTGGGAGCGCTGGCAGGGTGACAGCAAGGGACGAACAGAGAGCAAACGCCTGTTGTCTTGGGGGTGGCAACTCCAAGGAAGAAACGGGATTTCTGCTTTAGTGAACCCTGAACAAGGCAAGAAGACAGAACTGCAGGTGTGGGCTACAGGCACTTCTGCGATTCTGAGCGCTGATGGCTCAGAGAGAGGTCAGGGCATCAATAGCTTTCATCAACATCAGGACCCCATAGCTTTGGGCCATCTCCCGTTTTGATAGTTTTGATGATTTGACAGAAGGCCGTAGGAGAAGCAATCAAGGCTAACACAGGGTAACACAGCAGCCCAGCATGCCAGAGGCTGCTGGGGACCTGCAGCTTTCCTCCAAGGGGCAGCTCTGCCCAGATCTCAAGGAAAGAAGAGGGGCAGCAACCTTGCTGCAGGGAGCTCTCCCTGGCCTGACCAGCCAACTGTTGGTGGGGGCACCAAAATACCCCTCCAAACACTCAGGAAAAATTGTATCAGGGTGAAACAGCTGACATAAAAACACTATTAGCCAATTCTCCACCTGTTTTCTGCTGCAGGGCCAAGAGCACCAGGTGAGGAGCCAGGAGAGCTGGCAGAGAGACATGGCAAGAGCCTTTGGCCGGAAGGGCTTTCAGGGAGGCCAGAGGGCAGCAGAGGAACGACACCAGAGAGGGCCCAGTAAGAAAGGCCAAACGCTACAGGAAAGACCAGGGCAGAGGGAAGTGATGCTCACTTGTAACCACTGGTTCGGAGGGGACTGCTGGGAACACATCAGCGCCTGCAACGGCTGGGAGAACAAAGGGTGCCAGGCAGGCCCCAAAATCCCTTCATGAGCCTAGAGGACTCAGGAGCTGAGATCGGGGATCGCAGCTGCTACCCTCCAAAGCACCTGCCATCACACAGCACCGGCAGCCTCCCAGCAAGAAAAGCAAGCCTTTCCCTGGTAGCTCGGACACTGTCCAAGGCTGACTCAGACTTGGCTGGTCAAGCCCAGCGCAGCTTCCCCACTGAAGAGCGGGGAGAGGACAAGGAACTGGACAGCAGCGATGCTCAGCTGCTCTGTGCTCCATCTCCCATTGGCGCTGCAGGTCCCTCGCCCTGACCGCAGACAGCCTTGTCTCTGGGTTATTCCAAACTCAGAGTCGAAACCAGCCTCATGCCAAGGCCCCAAAGCAGTCACAGGTGGGAGAGTGTGCAGCTGAGCTCCGATGCGCCTAGAACATGCCGTGACGGCCACGTCTCCTCCGCAGCCAGGACAGAGTCCCACGCGGAGCACGGGCAGCCAGGACCTCTCCTGAGGTCTAGGAGCAGTGTCCCAGCAGTGGCCCTGAGAGCAGCTTCAACATCGACCTACTGCACAACTCAGTAAAGCCAGGGGGGCCCCAAGGCCCCTCCATACAGCTCCTGAACCACCTTCTTTGCTGAGTGAGGTGCCAATCACCAGCACATCCAGCCTCCTGCAGACTGGCCTGTCCAGGGCTGGAAGATGCCATGCTTTGCATCAGAATAGACCAGTATCTCCCCCCTACCCAACATGTCCCAGAAAGGTAGGCTGTCCTGGTTTCCCAACCAGAGCAGACCCAGAAAGGCACAGATGGTGGGGGAAGTCTAGCCCAGAAGGTGATGGCATCCTCTGAGCAGCAACAGACGCCTCTTTCCAGACAGAGCCCCTGGAAAGAGAGAAAGCAAGAGAAGAGAAAGCCCCATGGTACCCACAGCCCTGCAGTACCTGAGTCTGTATCCTGTTGAGGCCCCTGAACCACAGGATCTGCCCGCGCCGCAGCTCCATTTCAGCATGGTCGATCTCATCCACGTCCTCAGGTAGCTCCTCTTCTGGGATCTCCTCCTTGGTGATGCCGTGTCCAGCTTCCTTCAGGAACTTCAGGTGGCTGGTTGGGACAGTGCAGATCAACTGGGGAGAGGCAGGGAGAGAGAGGCTCCTTAGCCCGCAGGCTACAACAGCCCCGAGCCCGACAGCAGCAGCCTTGACTGAGAGGGAACATTCCTGTGGCGAGCTGCCGAAACTCAGCTGAGACACGCCAGGCTCCTTCTGCCAGGCAAGGTGTCCCCTACAACCCCTCCAGCATCACTCCTGCCCAAGCGCACAGCCACCATGAGGCCAGCAGCCCACTTTGCGTGGCCACTGCAAACATGGCCTCCTGCGTGCATGAGAGGGTCCAAGCCCACATCTCTGTGCAAGGCCGTGGCAGAAACAGCCCTGCTCCCTTGCCTCAACACAAAGCTCAAGAGAGCTCCAAAGCGTAAGCAGCGGCTCAAAGAAAAGCAGCAGAAATAGATGAGAAACCATGCTGGAGGACACTGCAAGGAGGGTGGGAACGAAGAACATCAGCCCCCACCTCTCCTTACTGTTGGTGCAGCACTGGGATGGAGCGTCGGCCCCCTTCCACAGCTGCCCTGAATATATGCTGGGCAGAGCAAGTGCAGCTAGGCAGCAGGAAGGGAAGGGCAGGCTGGGCTGCGAGTATGCCGTGGCATAGAGGCACATGGTATTTTTTTAGGCTGGCTCTTACCTGACCCCAGAGGAGCTCTCCCACTCCAATAAAAATACACCAGAACCACTGGCTCAGGGTGAGCCCAGAGCAGCTGAACGGCTTCCCACCAAACTCCACAATGATGATCTAGAGCATAGGAAAGAACAAGTCACACACCAGGATGCTCAGAGGGCTGCACTAGGGCAGCCAAGGGAAGAAAGGGTCCCCCCAAGCCACGAATCTTTTCCCCCTCCCTGGGATCACAAGAGGAACAAGAACCTAATATCTATGCTACTAACTTTACAGGACACCACAGCGGCGGCTGGCCGGCCCTGGGATCTCCCAACACACTCTAGACCCTAGTCGTCAGGTTTTGTGTCACCAAGAAGCTGCCGGAGAAGAATAAGGGAAAGAACTGAGAGTCGCGGGCTGAGGTGGTGGCAGACACGGATCCTACCTGCAAAGTCCCCCTCCCACCCCACCATCCATCCCCACACTGCTCCTGTGGCCATACCTGAGCTGCAAAGGTCCCAAGCACCACTGTGCAGAAGATGGGATTCCGATAGATGGACTCGAAGACGTTCCTCTCCCCGTGGATCTTGCGAGCGTTGATCTCGTTGAACAACTGCATCATGACGAAAGTGTTGAAGACAATAGTGTAGTGTTCGGTGGGTGGGGAGTGCAGGGGGGCGTTCCGGCCACTGTCGATATCAAAAAACTTCTCCCCTAAGCAGGTGAGGGGTTTTGGGGAAGGGATGAGGAAGGGTGAGGAAAAGAGGAGAAGATGAGATCCTGTTCCTTCCTTATGCTCTGCACTGGCGGAGATGGAATTAGGTTCTCAGCCTATTACTGAAGATCCCTTGAGCCAGCCAGAGTCCCCCATGCTGGCCCCACTGAATCTGTTTCTTTAAAAATCTTAAAAAGTTGTTTCCCAGGCTAAAACCGCCTCTGCACCCAGTGAGACCTACAGCAGACCCACACCCTCGAGAATCCTTTCGTTATCACCACCATACGCAACTCCCCATCCAATAAATGAACTCTGCCCTGGCTGGCCTGGGGCTACTGGGCAATTGCTCAGCATGAGGATCCCTAACACTACTCTGGAGGCAAGGAAACACAGTTTGCAGACCCGCACTGCCTTTGCAGGGCTGGCTGCGCTCTGCAGCTCGCAGAGGTCCAAGACGGACAGCAAGGCAGGCCTGGGAGTCTGCCCCCCATTTCTTGGGGCCTCACCCGCAAAAAGCAGCGTGAAAATGATAGTTAGCTGGTACACCGCATGCCCCAGGATGTTTTTCATCATCGTGCGGGAGATGAGCGGCTTGTTGCGGCCATATGGCTTGCGGAGCAGCAGAGACTCGGACGGGGGCTCTGTGGCCAGGGCTAAGGAGGCAAAAGTGTCCATGATCAGGTTCACCCACAGCATCTGAACAGCCTTCAGGGGAGAGTCCTGCAAAGAGAGGAGGGACAACACGTTACACTACCTAAACAGCTCTCTTTGCACTCCCCGTTTCACAGGGGTCTCCATTTTCCTTCTGCTGAGCCAGCCCAATCCCGGGTGCCACACCGGGTGCCCAGCCAGCTGCCCATACCTGCGTGATACAGGCACCCGTGAACGCCACGATGCCAGCCACAACGTTAACAGTCAGCTGGAACTGCAGGAACTTGGAGATGCTGTCATAGACGTTGCGTCCCCACATCACCGCTTTGACGATGCTGGTGAAGTTGTCGTCCGTCAAGATGATGTCTGAAGCCTCCTTGGCGACGTCTGTGCCTGCAATGCCCTTGAGGGCCAGAGAGCAAGCGGCAGTGGTGAGTCATTGGGCAAGCTCCGGGCTGCCCATCCCAGCTCCAGGGACTCTGCTTCTTCCCAGAAACAGCCCCGAGACAAAGATCCGCTGGAGCCGGAGGAGGTGGGAACCAGACCCACTTTAGGAGCAGGGAAGCCCAGTGCCAGTCCCAAGTTCTCCTACGGCTGCAGAACAGCAGCTCACCTCCAGCCGGGGGCTCTGAATCAGCATGGCTTTTCAGTCCAAAGCTGTCAGTGCTCCCACGCAGGGGCCACATTGCAGTAAATTAGGAAACAGCTCATAAGCAGCTGCTTCCTCCTTGTGCTTGGAAACATCGCAGTCCCTGGCTGTGCATCTCTGCTGCGAGCAAGAGCCAGGACTCCCAGAGGAGCACGGGAGCTCAGCAGCCTGAACTCTATGTGCCTTCCTGGCACAGGCTACCCACCCCAGCCCGCTCCGCCCATCCGGAGCAAACAGCAGCCCTGCAGCGAGCTGCAACCACCAGATCTGCTCCACAGCCACCTGCAGCCTCTAGAAAATTACCTGCGGCCTCTCAGCGCCAAACAGCAATAGCTACGCAGGCAACTCGGCTCGCTGCGCTTCTCATCGTGGGCACTGAGAGGCGCACGTTTTGCGTACAATCTGCCTTTGCCAAGCATTACACTGCATTGAACCAATGCCCTTTAATGAGCTGTTTTCCCTGGTGCCTTCTTGCTGGAAGCTCTCTTGGGATTTGCAAGATCTGTCTCAAATGGGAATCCCCAGCTTTTGCAGGGCACAAGCTGCAAGGTGAAGCCGGACCGGTTGCAGGTAGCATGCACGCCGGCTGATCGCTGCTCTCTGGAGATATAGCAAGGGCAGGGCGCCCAGCCCTACACAGCACTTAGCTCCCAGGGAAGTCCGACAGCAGGTCCGGGCTGATCCTGCACGTGTTGCACTGGAAGCATGTACGGCTACCCAGGGAGGAGACACCTTTCTGCTATTCCAACTCAAGGCTCCCAGAATGGCACTCAGATCTACAACAGCTTCCTAAAAATTCTCTTCTCCACCCCCAAATTGTTATTTGCATGTAAGCTTTGCACAAAGGCTCACATACGGTCCCCCCTCCAGTAGCTGGCTCCTGCTCACGTACCAAAACCTAAACAACTGACAGGGAACCAGTTAAAACTGACAGGTTTATTTTCTTGCCTCTCCCAGACAGGGCAAAGAAAAACAGCAAACTGGAGATCAGAGTTCTTCACTGTAAATACACTTCCCAAGTTAGTGCTAGCACAACACGAGGAGCCTGGCCTGCCTGTTATGAGCCTGGGCGAAGAGCTGCAAGTCAGACTGAATTACTGGGCTCCCACCGCTCTCCTGGATCTCACACCTAGGAAACCAAGCCAGGCAGCCGCTTTCAACTGCATGCACTGGCTGCAGGGCATGAACTCTGGGCAGCTCCACAAGCCCTCTGCATCGCCTTCAACTTGTCAAGGTCCCTCTAGGTGGGTCGGAGAAGTTCACCTCTAAGCCAGGCTAGCAGAGGACTCTTTTCCAGCAATCTTTTTGCTAATGATCCTACATCATCTCTCAAAAGAGGTGGTGGGGGGGGTTGTTTTGGGGTTTGTTTGTTTGTTTGTTTATTTTTGGTTTTAAGCCATTCTGTAGATTTGGAAGAGGGTTTCACGGGTCCATAAATAATTCAGTGTTCAGAATAACTGACGTACGCCGTAGTTTCCCAGCACACGCTCTGGTGGTCACACTAGAGAGCGAAGGCCCTCCCCCAAAGTAAGGAAATACCCCATGGAAAACCCACTGCCATTCCATACCATCGCAAATCCAACGTCTGCTTTCTTCAAAGCTGGGCCATCGTTGGTCCCGTCGCCCGTCACGGCTACTACTTGCCTCTGGTCGCCAACTGTGCTGTCGATAATTCCTGAAAATGGGGACAAGGAGTTTAGAGTAAATAAGTCCCAGGCCAGGCTCCCAGCACAGATTGCAAAAGCACCCGCATTAGGGTGAGGCAGTTCAGCAAGAAGCAACAACTGCCCAAGAGCTCCCGCGCAGCCGGCGATCTCCCACCCTTGCAGGATGCAGGAAGACTTGCGCCTCTCTGGGGAAGGCGGCCAGGAACGCTCTCCCTCTTCCAAGGGAGGCACAAGGTGGGGAGAGGTGATGCGGTTGCTGGGGAGAGACCTGCAGAGGAGGAAGACCCCCATGGGAAGCTGCCATGCACTCACCTTTCACGAGCGTATGCTTATCCGTCGGGGAGGAGCGGGCCAGCACACGCAGCTTGGGCCAGATCTTATCCAGCTGCTCTTGTTCCACCTGTGGCACGAGGCTCACGTGAGTAGGGGCAGGGACATCCAGAAACCTTCCCCACTGCAGAGCTGTCCCCAAACGGGACAGCACCTTCACCTCGAACCACCCAGACAGCCCTGCAGCAGCTCCAGCAAAGGACTGCAGCAGGCAGAATAGCCAGTTGCACTTATCCAAGGAGCCAGATTCAGTGGCTTATTTCACTGGGACTGTCTCAGCGTCACCACCCACACCCACCACAGAGCCAGGCCCACGGGTGCCCATCACAGCCCCACGCTTGCTGTGTCCCCGAGCGCTGCACTGCAGCCTGCTTTGGCCCGCAGAGCAGCGGGCACCGGGCGTGGGGCTGCTGTCCCACCTCTCCCTTCTCATTGCGGATGAGCCGGTTGAATTCCTTCCCCTCCAGGCACAAGAAGTCCTCTCCTGGCAACAGTATGCCGCACTTGGTGGCGATGGCACGGGCAGTGTTGATGTTGTCCCCTGTCACCATCCGGACGGTGATGCCTGCACGCTGGCACTTCAGGATGGCATCTGGCACCTGGGGGAGCAGAGACGGGGTCAGGGCAGCAGACGGGCAGCACAGACCGAGCACCCAGCCCGTGGTCAGCGCGTGAGGCCCCGGCTCTGCCAAAAGACAAAGGAGAGCAGCTCCTGGAAGCTGGAGGAGGCCTGGCCAGAGAGCAGCTGAATTAAGGCAGTGCAGCTGCCATCCAGCAGCAGCTCAGCTCTGCGCTTGGACTCGGTGACAAACTGCTG